ACTACTTATGATTAAATGAAGTCAAAAGGGTGGGGTCTTAATGAGATAGGATTGGTGGCCTTATAAGACTAGGAAGACAGATCTCTCCTTCCATGCATACTCGCCAAAGAAAGGACAGATGGAGGTGTCAGTCTGCAAACCAGGAAGAGAGCTTTCATCAACCCTGCTGACACCCTGATCTTAGACTTTCAGGCTCTAGAATTGTGAGAAAATAAACTTCTCTTGTTTCAACCACCCAGTTAGGACAGCCTGAACAGAGTAAAAACAGGCTGGTATTCAATCTGGGAGCTTCTCACCACCTAAAATTCTTCCACCGATCTAGCCCTGAAAGTCCAACTCACCTTCTCAGTGTAGCCTTCCACATTTACCTAAGAAGTAATCTCTTCCTCCCATGGGGCCCCCTAATACTTTATCCTTGACTGTCTGATGACCCAGTCTCCTTTGTATCAATTGTCATTGGTGTACATACCTCATCTCCCTGAGAGCTAAAGCATGGATTTTCTTCGTGTTCCTATAGCACCTGGCACAGGAGGCACTCGGTAAGTGTCCAGTGAATTTAGAGCTCTTTCTTGGCGCGCTCGCTCGCGCTCTCTCTCTCTCTCACACACACACACACACACACACACACACACACACACACACACACAGTGAACCAAGTTATAATTCACCTATATTTACTACTTTGTAGAAAGCACAAGGGGGCCAGAGGTCAGCAGATGAAAGAATCAGTCCATTTGTCTGCTCCAGATTCTTTGTAAAAAAAAAAAAAAAAATTTTTTTTGGTTGGGGGTAGGTGCACCTCGGTATCTCAGTCAGTTAAGCATCCAGCTCTTGATTTTGGCTCAGGTCATGATCTCACCGGTTTGTGGGTTCAAGCCCCACATCAGGCTCTGCACTGACAGTGCAAAGCCTGCTTGGGATTCTTTCTCTCTCCCTCTCTCTTAACACTAGTATTCAGATTCTCCTGACCTTCCACTAGGTTATAGCACACGTTGGCAGCATGTAACTTTCTTTCTTTTAAAGCCCCTTCTTCCCACAGCTGTCAGTAGTTCCAAAAAGAAGAGGGAATAGGGGTCCCTCACCTCCCCAAGCTCCCCCCCAATCCCTTGTCAATGATAGTTAAGAAAAAGGTGGTGAATACCAGGCATTGGATAAAAGATGCCCTTCTTCATTGACTCTGGAATTATGCCCACTGGCCTCTGCTGAAGAGAAGGGGCCTGTGCTGCCCATGGTCCTCTCTCCAGAGAATGATTAAGAATGGATCCAAGAAGGCTTTGAAGTACTCTCCCTTATGTTCTAGTATAGTCAAATAGTTTCTGTATGATTTATCTTAAATTCAAAATGTAGGAAGCTGGGGGTGCCTGGGTGGCTCAGTCGGTTAAGATCCGATTCTTAATTTCGGGTCAGATCATGATCTCACAGTTTATGGGAATCAAGCCCCGCTTCAGGCTCTGTGCTGACAGTGCAGAGACTGCTTGGCATCCTCTCTCTCTCCCTCCCTCTCTCTGCCCCTCCCCCACTCACACTCTCTCTCAAAATAAATAATTTAAAAAACATCAAAACATAGGAATCTAATTTTGAGTGAGAAGGAATGTATTTAAAGAGCCAACACCCGTGGTCATGTTCTCATTCTTTATTTGGGTACTGGCAACACAGGTATATTCACTTTGTAAAAATTGAGCTATTCACTTTAGAGGTGTGTGAGTGTGTGTGTGTGTGTGTGTGTGTGTGTGTGTGTGTGTGTGTGTGTTATACTTCACTGAAAAGTTCACTTTTCTAAAAAATTCTCCACCTTGAAAACTAGGAAAATTGAACAATTTTCCCAGGGTCACACAGCTAGTGAATGCCTGGAGTAAAGGCAAGAACTCAGATCTCCTAGCTCTTTAGTTAGTACCTATTTTAAAAGTGCACCTAAGAGTAAGTGGAAAGTTCAATTTCAGTTTCTTTTAATCTGAATGTTGCCAGAAATTCCCTTGGTTTTCTTAGAGCCCTGCTCTGCATCTAAAAGTTGACATATTTGAGGTACGCCTGGGTAGCTCATTTGGCTGAGCAACCTACTTCAGCTCAGGTCATGGTCTCATGGTTCATGGGTTTGAGCCCTGCTTCAACAGCTGACAGCTCAGAGCCTGGAGCCTACTTTGGATTCTGTGTCTCCCTGTCTCTCTGCCCCTCCCCTGCTCATTCTCTCTCTCTCTCTCTCTCTCTCTCTCTCTCTCTCTTACTCAAAAATAAATTAATGTAAAAAAAATTTTTTTTAAGTTGACATATTTGAAAGAGGGTTTTCTCATTATTATGGAGCCATACCAGCTCCCTACATGCTGTCTAACTGGTGGCTGTGGCCACCAGTGAAATTTACAGCCAAGCCACTCCTTTCTCCTGGTGCATGGGTCTGGAAAGGGGCTCTGTGGGAAGCCCCTATATGTTTGTGTTGGCCTGTGTGCCCTGAAAGGGCAGGTGGCCTGGCCAGGCTCAGAGTGGTACTCACCTTAGACCTTATCAGCAGCCCTTTGTCTGGACAAAGGTGACAGACCAGCAGTTATTGATTTAGTTACAGCTCCATCAGGAGGGCATAGAGAGAGAAAACATCATTATAAATCTGAGATTTTCTTTAGCTATTTCCATTTCATTCATTCAGCAAGACTTTCATGTTCCATGATGACTCTGTCGACTTTAGAAAGCTTGAGCAGTTCATGGGGACGTTTGACCACCCTAAGGCCTAGGAGTCAGTGACTGGATGAGATAAAATTGAGCCTTGCCCTCATCCCCCAATCTGTCAAAAGCCTTTCAGTCAACTCTCTCCTGGTGCCCAAGGCTCTGAGTGTCAAGGTCATGATGCATCCCAGCCTTGCTTCCCTGCCCATGTGGGAAGTGCTTGGCCTAATTCAGCTGACCATTCAGCAGTGCTCATTGACATCGGAAACACCACCCCTCTGTACCAAAAGCCCACCTGAATTACCCAGAAGTGGTCTCGCCCACCAAGTCTCAGTGCTATAGGTTGGCCCCCTCCTGGACTTCCTAATCCTGTCTCCCCACAATGTCTGAAATGTGGTCCAAGGGACAGTGCCGACGAGATGTCCCACTCTGGCTCACAGCCAAGCCAGGGGGTGTGGCTTTTACCACCCTGGGTGGACCCCTTCCCTATAACCTGAATAAGTTCTATCATGGGTGGTCCTGTGGGTAGAACACCCTGCCCAAGGTAACCAGACCTCCTACATCCATTTGTGTCTTCCGTAGTCCAGGGACTTAAAAGTAGTGGCCTCTGGCAGGTCATTCACTACACTGCTGGTGACCTCTGTAAACTCACTTCTTCAACAGGCAACTGATAGTCAGCTCTGTTCCTCGAGGGGACTGACAGGCCCCCCAAGGGGCTTGCTTTCACTCCAATGAGGGTCAGGAGTCCAGATGGAGTAAGTTCTGGTTAAGTTTGCATGTTCTGTGCTCCTTTTACCAGGAACCAGGAGCTGTCATCTTTGAGTTAACATTGTGCCTGTGCCAGCCAGACTGGCCAATTTAATATCTTTTCAATTAGTGAATCTTCCAATAATAGCATTTTAACAATGAAGTTCCAAAGAAAAAACTTCTTCTTCATTTTTGTCCAAAGGGGGAAAAGAAACGTGTAATAATGGTATTATAAATTCTAAAGTGGTGATCATTTGGCTGTGCTACAAAATTTGTTGCTAATAATTAAAATAAAGATTTAAGTAAATGCTTTATCAATAAAATAGACGATAGGACATATTTTTCTCAGCCGGTGTCAGGAAAGGCAGCACACAGCCATGTGCTGAATTGTCACACTGAGTCTTTAAAATTCCTGCTGGATTTGAAGGTATTAACAAGTCCCTATCAACATTCTCTAAGGGTTTTTGATGTCATTTTAGCTATTGAACTAAAATATGTGAACTATTACCTTGTTGATTTTGTCCTTAAACCAAACTGCATTATCATCTGAGAGTATGTTCTTAAAGTATTGTTAAAAGTACTTTGAAAACTTGTAAATCCCTGTAATTTATGTTTCTCCTGCCTCTGCTGTTTCATTCTGTCCTTCTGGTTTTAATTTGAATGCAGTCTTGTCTGGGTGTGTACCTGTAAAATTATGTTTTTCCAAGTACAATTTACAGTCCTGACCTTAGATTCTTACAGTGTCCCCAGCGTTCTCTGAGCTTCCTCTTATACCAAGAAGTGGGCTTCGGGTCCTTCAGTTCTTTCATATTAGAATCATCTAATCAAGGTTACTTGAAACAGATCCGATTTTGACATTTCTTAGTTTATCATGTAGGCCCAGGGAGTAAATTAGGAGGGCTTCCCTGCAAGCCCATTAATTGCATTGCCCCATTCCTTAAAACATATACACTTGTAAACCTAGACTGCCTCAAGACAAGAGTCTCATTTATCTAAACAGTTCTCCTTTTAGACTCAATGGCACTGATGGAAACACAGATAAGGAGTGTGGATCAGAGGAAGGATCTTTTGGAGCCTGTGCTTGCTGAAACTGTTCCTACTCCCCTTACAGTCCCCTTTTCTTTCCAAGGGCCTGTCTGCATATACAGAACAGTCAGTATATCCCCGGAGCTTGGTTAGGGGAAGACCGCAGCAGGCAGTGCAGTGGGAGAGGGCATCTTTCTTCTGAGGGGGCTCTTTGCAGGTTTCAAGGAATAGGACTTCTCTGTTTTAAGGGGAGGATGGAGGGCGGGCGCTTTGTTAAAGCAGAGTCTGTATGTTGAATCCTCTCCCGCCTGGCAGCGGAGCCCTTCATCGTGGACTAGAAATGGCCGCAGAACTTTTGGAATCGTTTCCTTAAGTTGGGAAATGAGATTTCTTTACTTTCTTTACTTTCTGTTCCTTTAAGAACAAATATCACTTAGGAGTCTTTTTTTTTTTTTTTCCTCCTTACACTCCTTCAGTGTGTTCTCCATAGTTCTTACAGACACTGTTGGGAGTGGAGGAGAAAGGGGCAGGCAGAGCTTTTTGGCCGTTGACCTAGGTTTCCTCTTCTGTTTCAGGTCATCGTACAGTCTGGCCGCCACCCCACGGTGCTGCAGAAACTCTGCCAGTTGCCCTTCCAGTACTTCAGTGACCCACGACTGATCAAAGTGCTGTTCCCCTCACTTATCGCTGCTTGTTACAACAACCGCCAGAACAAGATCATTCTGGAGCAGGAGATGAGCTGTGTTTTACTGGCCACATTCATTCAGGTACCTTCTGTGTTATGCCTGATTCTCTGACTTTGAGTGGAAGCTAATGCAATTGCAAAGTTAAAGTGAACCAGCTATTTATTCTTGCCATCCTCAATGTCTTTAAAATTTTTCGCGTTTTTATGTGCTTGAAAATTAATTTCTAAAATATTAGGATAGTAAAACTAGGGTTGAATGGTGTAAACTTCAACGTGGAGGACTTCAAGAAAAGGGTATTTTTCCAGTTGTTGAAATGGTACACCCACACCAAGGAAACATTTTAAAAACGTTGCCAGACTTCTTTAAGGCTTTTAACATTTACATTCACCTTGCCTTTAGTGCAGCTACAGGGAATAGATAAGGATTGCTGAAGAAGGATCAGTTAAAACTTCAGTTGATTTGTAAGTTTTAAAATAAGTATGATTCATACACACACGTGTGTGTAATAAAAACCTGCTTATATTGCTTTTTTAAAAATCTAACAATTGTAAGTATGGCCTTATATTTTTCTGATGTGGTTAAAATTCTGTAGGACTAGAATCAGAATTAGTGCTGTAGCAAAATAAAGCAGTATTTTCACATCTAAATTAACTGCGTCAACTGACAATAGAAACTCAAGTTGGCTATTCTTTAACATTTGCTAATAGCTAATCCTGCAACTTTTTTTCTGTCATTGTAGATCATTCATTGCTGAAAATCTTCCATTTTCCTTGAAATGTTCTATAAAACCAACGTTTTTTTGTTCCATGATGTACGTGTGATTAAAAGACAATGTTTTCTGTTAATAACAATGAAACAGAAAGCAGAGCTCTGTAGCAGTATTCTTCTTTATTCTGGCAAATATACATGCATCTTTGTTGAAAGGATGTGATAGTGCCCAGCTGGTTGGGATGGCTAAAGAGTCCAGCTTTCTTCACCTTAGACAGCAGTTAGTGGTTTATGTTTTTTAAACTATCCTCTATTAGACCATCAGTTAACAAATACAACTAGATCAATTGTGTTTAGAAATGTTTACTTTCAGCTTAGTTGTTCCAATTGAGTCTGGGTTCTGTTTTCTGAAAATTTTTTCAAAGATCTGCAGATCCACAGGTAGGGTATGGATTTCAAAACAAAAATCTTATGGTTAAATTAAAACCTTAATAAAATCTTACATAACCATCATAGCAACATTTAAGATTTTGCATATATTCTTAAAGGCTTAGGATTAAAATTTAAATAGAAAATACTTGGGCACCTGGGTGGCTTAGTCGGTTAAACAGCCCACTCTTAGTTTGGGCTCAGGTCATGATCTCACAATTTGTGAGATCGAGTCCTGGGTCAGGCTCTGTGCTGAAGGCACAGAACCTGCTTGGGGTTCTCTGTTTCCCTCTCTCTCTGCTCCTCCCCTGCACCCTCTCTTAAAATAAAAAAATAAACTTAAAATAATAACAATAATAATAATAATTTAAAAATACACTATAGAGTATTTTAAGACTGATCTTAAAATTCAGTCTTGTATTCAGGAGGTAATTTCTGAGTGCCTCTGGTGTTCTGGGCACTGTTCTAGGCACTAGGAATACACCAATGAATAAAACAGATAAAAATTCCTGCCTTTATAGATCTTTCATTAAAGTGGGGGGAATCAAACAGAAAAGTAAAACAAATAGCATGTCAGGTGGTGTTAAGTACTATGGAGAAAAATAAGGCTGGGAAGGGGGATGGGCTGCCAGGGAGGGGGATGTGATGTGCAATTTTTTTATGACATGAGCAGAGAGGCCCCACCAAGACAGTGATAGTTGAGCAAAGACAGTTTTGCATCTGTATGAACTTAGTCCCTCACATTTTCAACCACTTGGAAAACAGTTTATGAAAATACAAATGATTTCAGAATCTAAAGTAAAAAATTTTTACTTATTTTCATCTGGTATTGATCTTAAAGCCTTCTAACTTTTCTCTGTGCTATTTAACACACATTTAAATGGAATTTAATGTAAATGTAACAAATTGAACATACATTTGGACATACACATTTTGTAAATGTTACAGAAATTTCTTATTTGAGATAGCATGTTAGATTAGTGAAATTAAATCAGATTTTCTTTTCTATAAATAATTATGCTCAAAGGAGTGAATATATAGTGGATTTTAGTGTATAATGTGGTTCTTTGAGGTCTGCATGTGTTAGGTTATTAATAGTCACTAGAAAATGATACTAAAAATAGGAGCTGGTAGTTTGTCATAGGTCTCTGAAAATTTACATAAAAGTGAAATTACTAGGCTTTTTTAGCTGCAGAATATGTAAGGGCTTTTAGAGTTATGCTTTTTTAAAAAATGTTAAAAATCTATCAATATTTTAAGAGCAAGTTTGGCTAAAGCATTCAGTTTGCTGAAATAAAGTTGTAGTTTCTGGCCCCTGATGATCTGTACCAAGATTTGAGTCATCGCTATTTGATTTAAATTGAGAACCTGAACACCAATTTCTTAAGCTTTTATATTTGGGCTCCAAAGTATTCATGCAAAAATAGTTGTCTTTAGACTTCAGAATCACATTTAAAACTGCCGTCAGAGAAATTCTCTGTTCATAGCACTGGTATAAAAACACTTTTCTTGTCTCACACAGGATTTTGTACAGACTTCAGGTCAGGCAGATAACCAGCTTTATCAGCCCAAAGGTACGTCCTATTGAAATGAAATGTCATATGTTTGTTAGCTGAATGGACATGTTTCTTACTCCACCCTCTGGAACTATTACAGAAATCATTTTATTACATCACCCTAAAACATTTGAGATTTGGATACCAATTATAATTCAATGAGTAAAGAAACTGATTTTGTCATCAAGCATTAATGCATCAGAATATACAGAGAAATTTTGAAAATAAAAGCACAAAACATCTTTACGTAATTTATATTCACCTCATACAAGATATAACAAATAGTGAATAATTGCTAAAGAGCCACTTTGTAATACAGGAGACAATCAGGTCATTAATATTGGCCTACATTACTCACATAAATGCTAAAATCACATAGATTTGGTTTCCTGTCTGTGTTCAGAATAAAATTATGAATGATAATACCCCATATTTCCCCCCTTAAATTCAAGTACTCGGATATTTTTATTGAAAATAAAAACTGTAAAATTGTTTTACTTGGAGAAAAAAGAACATCAGATTAGTAAGAGTTCAGAGGCCAAATGATTTACAAGCATTTTTTTTCCTGTAGTGTTCCTGCTGAGGTGCTTCCTATGATCAGAGCTGGAGATGTAGAATATTAAGGACATTTTTACTTTTTAAAAATATTCTGCTACACACACTGTAATTGAGAAGTACAAATGGCTCTTTGTCTGGCTGTTGTGACAGCACCTTTGATTAATGAGGCCCTAATACAGATTTTTCCCCAATTCTTCCATTAGTTTGATACTCCTTAAAGTGGACAGAGGCCCACTCCCAACAGGACCCTCTAGGTGACCCACCAAGTAGCCCCTACTTGGAGGGGTGGTGAGTCACCTTGTCACCTTGGACAGTCTCTCTTTCTCTCCCTCGCCTCTCTCTCTCTCTCCCTCCCTCTCTCTCTCCCTCCCTCCCTCTCTCTCTCTCTCTTTCTCTCTCTCTCTCTCTCTCTCTCTCACACACACACACACACACACACACACACACACGTACACCAATTATCTATAGTGGGCAAATGTTGAAAAGTACATAGAAAAGAATATAAAGCTGTACCAGTATCATGAAGAAAAGGTCAGGTTTTATTGGTTCAGACACTCAGAGAAGTAAACAGAAAGGTATGTTCCTTTTCAGAAGTTCAAATCAACATCATAGTACCATTTGTCTAAGCCAGAATTAGTGTGCAAGTTCAGGACTGCCCTGACTCAGTCACAGCCTTTTTTTTTTTAAGTTATTGGAGGCTGCAGTGAGTGAAATCAGTATAATTTGTTACTATTTCTTAAAACAGTGTTTTAAATTTTGAATATATGAAAATGCCTTGAAAAATCTAATGTATTTTTAATTGTACAGCAACTTTTTTGCCCATAAGAAGTACAGACATTCTTTCTTCTTCCTTTCTCCTGACTGTAAGGATGAGTCACCATTTGCTACATATCTGGCAGACATAGTCCCAAGAGCTGCCTCAGCTCGGTGGGTTGAGGCCTGTGAGAGTTTCAACCTTCTTTCTTTTCCAAGGACCCATCTTCTTGACATCCACACTTTCCCCAATTCCAGTATGCTTAATCCGTAAAACAGCAAATGGAGAACTGTTCTCTGCATTTCTCAGAGTCATTATATTGGTGACAGCTCTTAATATGCTTACTTGGTTTTAAAAAAAAAGTGAGGGCACCTAGATGTTTCAGCGGGTTGAGCACCGACTTCAGCTCAGGTCATGATCTCACTGTGAGTTGGAGCCCCGCGTCAGAATTGCTGCTTTCATCATAGAGCCTACTTTGGATCTTCTGTCTCCCTCTCTCTCTGCCCCTTCCCTGCTTAGTTTCTTCCTCTCTCTTAAAAATAAATAAACATTTTTTTAAAAAGAAATTTTCTTGGGGCGCCTGGGTGGCGCAGTCGGTTAAGCGTCCGGCTTCAGCCAGGTCACGATCTCGCGGTCCATGAGTTCGAGCCCCGCGTCGGGCTCTGGGCTGATGGCTCAGAGCCTGGAGCCTGTTTCCGATTCTGTGTCTCCCTCTCTCTCTGCCCCTCCCCCGTTCATGCTCTGTCTCTCTCTGTCCCAAAAATAAATAAACGTTGAAAAAAAATTTTTTTTAAAAAAAAGAAATTTTCTTTAAAAAATAATTCAAAAAGTTAAAAAAATGATTCCATACTAGACATCTGTTCTCCTTTTGCTTAGTTTAAGTCCCCAGAAATGTTTCAAGGCATTTTAGTTCATTGCCCAGGTAAACCTCTACATTCTAAGTGTAAAGCAGCTCCTGGTAGCACCACATTCTTATTGCTAAAGGAGAATTCTGATTTTCAAACACTGGCTGCTTAATCACTACCCAGCTAGGAGGTTGTTTTCTTTGCCTACATCGATAACCAGTAAAGTTCTCACTCATTCCCTTCGCTTTGTTAGATGACTTGAATGCCAGATTTGAGCATTTTTTAAAGTCATATTTAAATTAAAATATTTTAAATTAGGCTATTTTAGGCGACAAATGTCGTTTATATACAGATATATCATTTCGAGGCTAACTTAAGGATGGAAGAGATGACTGTCATTTTATTTGGATCACCATACTTATTTCCCCCTATTTTCTTACTCTGGAGTCCAAAAACAGGTTTTTTTGTAATGTTTTACATAGGGATTAATGTCTGAATATGTTAGAAGCACAAAATAAATTGTGATTAAAATATGTATATTTTGTGCTGTAGGTAGATAAAAATAGATCAGTTACCTTCTTTATATAAACTTGTATCGTGGTTTATTTGAAGTGCATGTCTCCATTTTGTAGTCAGATATCAAAATAATTTTAATTTCTTAAACTTCAAAGAATTTATTATCTTTTTTTCTTCTCAGGAAAATCCCTTGGTTCCCAAGACTATCTTGAGCTGGCTAACAGATTTCCTCAGGAGGCCTGGGAAGAAGCTCGACAGTTTTTTTTAAAAAAAGAGAAAAAATAAATGATTTGGTTAGTTCTGTATTTGAGTGCCCTTGTTAATATTTTAAACTGTTCAAACAAATGTTCTAACTGTTCCTTAAGAAGCTCATTTTCACATGTTTATACTCTCCCCCTGCATTGTAGATATGGTATATACTTTGCACTATTTATAATGACTGTAGATACTTTAATGTTCTTTCTAATTCTGGAAGTTGAGTTTATTTCACTTATGCACAATATTTTGGAGTTCGGTTACCTACATCCTATGATAATATATACTTTGCATTTGTAATATGGGTGAAATTAGACATAAAATTAGCAAGTCTGTTTTGTTCTTGTAATAAAATAACTTATTCTGTTTGCAGTGGTGACTTTTCTTATTAAGACAATACCAATTTGAAAGAAAAATGTTAACTCCAACTCTGGGAGTATTTTAATTAAAGACTTAAAATTAACCTCTAAATTTCCCTTTTTAAGGTTTGGAGTAAAGATGTTTGGAACACTTGGCTATTCTAATTACATAATAGGTTTGGGGGCTATTTGAAATGAATTTAGGACATTGTATCCATTGGTCCGCCTCACCTTTCCTAGCGAACAGGACTTTCCTAGCAGACAGGACTGAGAACCATTGCTGAACTGAAAGTATTCTCCAGAATAAAAATTATCGATTCAAAAAGATCAGCCATAGTGAATCACCTTGACGCATTTCCTCAAATAATTGTGAAATGAAGCAACTCTGAAGTAACCATAAAACAAGGCCAGAAGGGCTCTGAATAAAAGTTTTAAACTCCGATGCCCCGCTCACAGTTGAACGTGAGAAGGGTCTGCCTGGGAGACGTAGACCTTTTCATATCTCGTTCCCAGCGTTTCACCACCTTAAGCCGACGGCCAGTGCTAAGCCGCTCACTGAATGACATCTGTAATAATTTCTGTCCGATAAGGATCAAACATTACCGTGAAGAAAAGATCTGGTTGGAAAAAAAAAAAGTGGCCTGAATATGTGTCAGAGTCAAAGCTATAGGAAGGTAGGCGGGGCGGGACCAGAAAATAACAAAAGTTTCGGCTTTTTTAATGTTCACAACACTCCTTTTTAGAGCCTCACAAAGCTGCTGAGCTATGTGTTTTTACTTCTTTGCAAATCGAAAGAAAATGAAGAGGTCCCCAAAATTAAAAAAAAAAAAATAAAGACGGAAACCACGGCGAACGCGTCCCTGTGCCCTCTGTGCTCCCGCGGGCGCGGGTCCCGGGCGTCTTCCCCACGTCGGGCCGCAGGGGCCGCTGCGGGGCTGGGGCCGCGACCCCGCGGGTCCTGCCCGGGCTCCAGGGCGGGGGGGCCGCCGGCCCCAAAGCCAGCGGGACCCGCTCTCGGGAAACCCCTCCCGCCAGGGCTCGGGCGGCGATCCGGCGCCGGACCCGGGACGCCGCGGCGGCGCGCACACAATGCCGCGAGCCGGGCGGTGCACCGCTCTCCGAAGGCCGAGGGGCTGGGCCCTAGCTCCCGCACGCCCCCTCCGAGACTGCGGCCGGGGCTCCTCCGCGGCCCGAGGCGGGGGAAGGGGCGGGGCGGGGCGGAGGAGCAGGCAGGTGTCCGCGGCCGGCTCCATCGGCGACCAGCAGTCGCCCGCCCGGGAGCCCCAACCTGGAGAGGAGTTCCCGAATGCCTCTCGCCCAGCGCGTCTTGGGGCGTGAACGCAGAATCCTTGTAGCTGAAAGGAATAATCAAATATTTATAAGATTTCCTGCAAGATGCTTCACAATAGAATATACTTCTTATCTGGTCGGAAATTTGCCAGAAAGCCATAAATAATTGAAACAGCTGTGATTAACCTCTCAGAAACCATACCAGAATTCGCAATTAAACATTTAATTGAATGGTGTCGTTTGCCCCCCTCGTCCGGGAGGGGGGGGGGGGGGGGTCGCCTGATTGAGATGAATCCCGGCTCCGCCCGGGTAGGGAGGTTTCGAGAATCGGGCCTTGCAACTCCTCGGTGACTCCCGACCTTCACGGTCTCTGTGCGTCTCGAGTTTAAGGCGCCTTCCGCCCGGCCAGAATGATTGAAGTTCTGACTCCCCTGGGTTTTACGATTAACAAACTCGCCGGGGACTGGGAGGGTGCGGCGCGCAAGTGAGTTCCAATTTGCGGGGACGAGTGCCACCCACTTGTGGCGGGGGCCGCATCCCGGGTCTCCCGAGCTCAGGGGCCACAAGTGGATCAGGCTGGGCCCAGGCGAAAGGCTTATGCTGGGTCCAGCCTGTGAAGCTGACGGTGCGAATGGGCGCGGCTGGGGCAAAAAAGCAACAACTTCATTCGGGCGTCGGAGCCCAGAATTTGAGCCAAATAGGAAAAAGCTGCCCGAAGCCCGGCAGCAGCGACATTTGAGCGCCCAGCGCTGTTACCCAACTGAATTTCCTGCTCCGGGCGGCAGCTCGCCTTCTGGGGAGCTCGACACCCTGGATGCCCAACAGGATGTCGAAGCCACAGCTTCCTGCCGAAATTCCGGAGCCTCTCCCTGGCTCCAGGCACTCGGGGCCTCTGTGACCCCGGACCCTGAACCTCGCCCCCGTTGCGCCTAGGTGGGAGCCTCACCTCCCGGCCCAGCCTTTCCTTCCTTCCCCAGCGCAGCTGGGAAAACCACTTGGGTCATTTCTTCCAGAGCTTCTTGCCACCTTTCTAAATTCTTAGGTGTCGATAATCTGAAAAGGGATTACTCCTCACCATCCCTATTCTTCCACTTCTCTCTCCCAGTTCCCACGCCCCCAACCCAGAGGTTCTCCCGCCTTCCGCATTCAAACCACCCCCTTAAATACCCTGTTTGCCAACCGGGAGATTCTCAGCCTTCCTAAACTCCTGCCCCTCCGTTCATTCCCTCACTCACTCTCCCGCCAGCTGCTGACTTTGAGGAGGTGCCCTGATCACCTAGAAGTCCTGCCTTTCTGGCCCAATTGCTGCGGGGCCCCAAACTTGCTTTATAAATTGAGCCAACCCCAAATCCCCACACAAATCCACATCTGGATCCCAGTGAGTATTTTCTTGTGCCCTTTTCCTCTGCTATTGCTATTCTCAGTCTAACTCCGTTTATCTGCATCGTCCATGCACAGTCTCTCTCAACAAGGTGCTAGTCTGTAATTGGTCACACAATCCTCATTATTGCACTGAATCCCAGTATCTTGAGGAAAGTTTACCTTTACATCAATCAGACCCGTATTTAAAAGCCTCTAATCTTCCCTACATCAGCTTAATAAACTCTGAATTTCCTGCTTGGAACTTCTCTTCAAATAGTTTATTATTCATTCATTGTTTCTTCTCTCCAGCATGCTATTCAGCTAATTCTCTTGCTCTCTCTGGTGACCACTTCTATGGGAAAACACAGCTAACTAAAATGTGTGGCAATGTAGGTCCTCCCCCAGGCAGCAGTGGCAGAATTAACATTTTCTAGAGAACAATCTTAGACAACGTCTCATTTAAACACAATATTTGCAGCTCTGAGCTTTAAGCCATTCCACATTCAAAATTGAAAGGCTGATTTCTGTTCCACAACCCATTAAATATTAAAGTTCGTTGGGAATACTGCCACAGGGACTCTGAATTTCCCAGAATTGTGCAGCCTTTCAATATGTATTAAATTTTGTGGTATAATGGCCATAAACTTTTCCATCTCTGGGAATCCCTCTCCTGCCTCAATTACATAGGGCTATCCAAATTATTAGATAAATCTTCTGGAAAAAATATTCTAAAGTGAATCTAGTTAAATAACTAACTCCCATTTTCCACCTATGGCCCCTTTTTATTGAACTTTTTACTACACAATTGGGCATCTCACTCTGAAAGTTCAGTAAGCATAAAATACAACATTTGTAATTGTTACAGGTAATTTAATTTACAAGGAAATCCCGACTGTATTACTGAGCATGTTTAAAGATGACCTGGGAACCAGTAAAACTGATATTTATTAATGTAACCAACCATAGATCTGACACCACACCAGAGACCATTGTAATAAGGCTTCAAAGTCAAAGCTTTTCCGTGGAAATGATGCACCTTTTTGGGTGGCCAGCAACCAACTACAGAAGAGTGTATATTTTACATAGTAATACATACAGATTCAGGCATCCTAATAAATGGTAATCACTTTTATCTGGGTAATGTCCCAATATTCAAAATCTGACACACTCACAGAGTTTACCGTACTTAGGCAGATGTTTCCGTTTGTAGCATTTGCAGTCTTTCAGGGCGCCTGGGTGGCTCAGTTGGTTAAGCATCTGACTCTTGGTTTCGGCTCAGGTCATGATCTCACGGTTTGTGGATTCGAGCCCTGCGAGCCCTGCGTTGGGAGCTGGCAGAGCCTGCTTGGGATTCTCTCTCTCCCTCTCTTGCTGCCCCTCCCCCACTCGTGCTGTCTCTCTCTCAAAATAAATAAATTTTTAAAAATTAAAAAACTACTGCAGTCTTTCAAAAGCAAAAATTCAGAGCTAATTAACAACAAACATTAATGAAATTCTTTACTCAAGAACCTGTTACTTCCGTTTTTAAAGTGACAAAACCTAATATTCTGGATTAATCAAAAGTTTTCCAAAGTAAGATTTCTTGGAAGTTTAGCCTGCTATCCAATGGCCAGCCAGTAGGTAAGAGAAAATAATCTATATTTCTGTTTGGGAAGGAATGGTCTAACTTAAGGGAGCAAAGCCTCAAAGAATCTAACCCTGATTATTAAAACCGTTTCTAGGCACTTGAGAGGTAAACCTGGTCCTCATTAACCCTATGTATCTCCTCCCTTATCTCTTAAGTCTGCAGCACCATTTCCTAAATCCCGAAGAAAGGGAATGTTCTCTTCAAATTTTGTGCCAGCATCACCTTGACTTTGAGGAAGTAAAATATAAAATTGGCTTGAGTTTCCCACCTCCCATTTTCTTTCAATAATTGACAGCTAGTCTTCCAGTTTTCCATTTCTAATGGGGGAGGGGGAGGTGACGGAATCCTGCCCTCAGCTCTGCTGAAAAACCTACAGTGGCCTCTGGCCATCCAAGCAGCCCACAGTTTTAACAGAAGGCACCTACTCTTCTATCCAGAGACCACAGCTGCCGCTCAGACACATTTTCCCTTACCAGACTCTACCCGAGATATCCCCTATTCACGGCATTGCTCTTTCAAAACAAATCCTGGACAAAGAAGGATATGCTTGGGGTCATTTATCTCGAGGGACGAGAAAACGGAAACCCAATGCCAGAGATTCTTCAAGAGTAGTGGATTGACTGGTAGGGTGGCAGTTTCCTGAGTCCACCAAGTGAGGCCTGGTCAGAGGAAAAGAACTGTCCCAGGCTGCCAAAGGGTTAAATATTTGTTAAGGGTAAAACCTGAGCCTCCTG